TTAGTCGACAAAATTTTAGTCAAAAAATTTTGGTAAAAAAAATTTTTGGTCAAAAAAATTTTGGCCAAAAAAATTTTGGCCAAAAAATTTTTTTTTATATTAGACCGATATTGACCAATATTAGACCGATATTGACCAATATTAGACCGATATTGACCAATATTGGACCGATATTGACCAATATTGGTCAAAAGAATTTTTGGTCAAAAAAATTTTTCGTCAAAAAAATTTTAGTCAAAAAAATTTTTGGCCAAAAAAATTTTTGGTCAAAAAAAATTTGCTCAAAAAAATTTTCGGAAAAAAAATTTGGTCAAAAAAAATTTGGTCAAAAAAATTTTGGTCAAAAAAATTTTTGTAAAAAAAATTGGTCCAAAAAATTTTGGTCAAAAAAATTTCGGTCAAAAAAATTTTGGTCAAAAAAATTTTGGTCAAAAAAATTTCGGTCAAAAAAATTTTTTTTTATTAGACCGATATTGACCAATATTAGACCGATATTGACCAATATTGGACCGATATTGACCAATATTGGACCGATATTGACCAATATTGGACTGATATTGACAAAACTGTCAAAAAAATTTTGGTCAAAAAAATTTTTGGTCAAAAAAATTTGGTCAAAAAAAATTTTTTTTTATTAGACCGATATTGACCAATATTAGACCGATATTGACCAATATTGGACCGATATTGACCAATATCGGTCAAAACAATTTTTGGTCAAAAAAATTTTAGTCAAAAAAATTATTGGCCAAAAAAATTTTTGGTCAAAAAAATTTGGGTCAAAAAAATTTTGGTCAAAAAAATTTCGGTCAAAAAAATTTTGGTCCAAAAAATTTTGGTCAAAAAAATTTTTGGTCAAAAAAAATTTATTCAAAAAAATTTATTCAAAAAAATTTTGGTCGACAAAATTTTAGTCAAAAAAATTTTGGTCAAAAAAATTTTGGTCCAAAAAATTTTGGTCCAAAAAATTTTGGTCAAAAAAATTTTTGGTCAAAAAAAAATTATTCAAAAAAATTTATTCAAAAAAATTTTGGTCAAAAAAATTTTGGTCAAAAAAATTTTGGCCAAAAAAATTTTGGTCAAAAAATTTTTTTTTATATTAGACCGATATTGACCAATATTAGACCGATATTGACCAATATTGAACCGATATTGACCAATATTGGACCGATATTGACCAATATTGGACCGATATTGACCAATATTGGACCGATATTGACCAATATTGGACCGATATTGACCAATATTGACCAATATTGGACCGATATTGACAAATATTTGGTCGACAAAATTTTAGTCAAAACTATTTTTGGCCAAAAAAATTTTTGGTCAAAAAAATTTTGCTCAAAAAAATTTTCGGAAAAAAATTTGGTCAAAAAAAATTTGGTCAAAAAAATTTATGGTCAAAAAAATTTTTGGTCAAAAAAATTTTGGTCAAAAAAAATTTTGGTCAAAAAAATTTTCGGAAAAAAATTTGGTCAAAAAAATTTTGGTCAAAAAAATTTTAGGTCAAAAAAATTTTGGTCAAAAAAAATTTTGGTCAAAAAAATTTTTGGTCAAAAAAATTTTGGTCAAAAAAAATTTGGTCAAAAAAATTTTTGGTCAAAAAAATTTTGGCCAAAAAAATTTTGGTCAAAATTTTTTTTTTATATTAGACCGATATTGACCAATATTAGACCGATATTGACCAATATTAGACCGATATTGACCAATATTGGACCGATATTGACCAATATTGGACCGATATTGACCAATATTGGACTGATATTGACAAAATTGTCAAAAAAATTTTGGTCCAAAAAATTTTGGTCAAAAAAATTTTTGGTCAAAAAAATTTTGGTCAAAAAAATTTTGGTCAAAAAAATTTTTGGTCAAAAAAATTTTGGCCAAAAAAATTTTGGTCAAAAAATTTTTTTTTATATTAGACCGATATTGACCAATATTGGACCGATATTGACAAAATTGTCAAAAAAATTTTGGTCAAAAAAATTTTGGTCCAAAAAATTTTTGAAAAAAATTTTTGGTCAAAAAAATTTTGGTCCAAAAAATTTTGAGAAAAAAAATTTTGGTCAAAAAAATTTTGGTTAAAAATTTTTGGTCAAAAAATTTTTGGTCAAAAAAATTTTGGGAAAAAAATTTTGATCAAAAAAATTTTCGGAAAAAAATTTTTGGTCAAAAAAATTTTGGTTAAAAAATTTTGGTCAAAAAAATTTTGGTCAAAAAAATTTTGGTCAAAAAAATTTTTGGAAAAAAGAAATTGGCAAAAAAATATTTTAAAAAAATATTTTTTTGGAAAAAAATTTGGGGACCGAAGTTTTAACACCCGCAAGGTACATGCATTCTATATTTTAAGAAAAAAAAAAATTTGGAAAAAAAAATTGGGGAAAAATTATTTAAAAAAAATTTTTGGAAAAAAAAATTGGGAAAAAAAATATTTTGGATAAAATTTTTGTGAAAAAAAAATTGGGATAAGAAGGGAAAGGATCAATACACTCTGAGATCGACAAAGACTTTGAAATCCGGTTTTCCAAAGTCCGCGATCTCATCATTCGATGTTGCGTTGGGTTTCGAGTTCGAATCCGCAAGCGATTCGTTTTTATATTTCATTTTTAATTAAATCCTCTTTAGGCGCGACTAAGTTGTAAATCCGTACAAATGCAACGGAAATGCGTTACGCCAGAACTGTACGTCATTCGCTCTCGATGAAATCATTTTGGAGGAAAAAAATTTGGACAAAAAAAACTTTTAGAAAAAAATTTTGGGAATAAAATTTTGGAGAAAAATTTTTTGGGAAAAACCCATGGACTATTTTTTGTACATAATCTTTGGTTTTTGGGGAATAACCATGGACTATTATAGTCTTTAATTTAATTTTTTAAATCGCTTCGATTGCAAAGGCGGTCGTTGTTGCGTTGGGCTTCGAGTTCGAATCCGTAAGCGATTCGTTTTTATATTTCATTTTTTGAAGTACAAATGCAACGGAAATGCGTTACGCCAGAACTATACGTCATTCGCTCTCGATGAAATCTTTCAGAGAAAAAAATTTTTTGGAAAAAATTTTGTGAAAGAAAATTTTTTGGAAAAACATTTTGGAAAAAATAATTTTTAGAAAAAGATTTTGGGGAAAAAATGTTTAGGGAAAAAATTTGGGAAAATTGTGTCTATATTATTGTACTTTAACAGATATATTATTTACATTAATTAAATGTATTATATATTTCGTGTAGTTCTGAATTTGATGACTAATAATCGGGCATAACTTCAATAAAAATCAGGAATTTCTTTAAAAATTTATTCTAATATCCATACGTTTCGGCTACAGTCCTAGCCTTCATTCAGTGAAAACTAAAAATATAATTTAATAACTAAAAAGTATAGCAATTGAGTTGAAAAATTACAAAAAGTAAAAAGTACTTACAGTTTGTTTATCCTAGTGTTAAAAACAAAAAGAATAACAATAATCCATGGTATGATGATATGGTGGTGCACTTAACTATATAATATGAACTTTAAACTTGTAGTATTTATCACAATGTTTTAATTTCACTTACAAAACAATTTTCACAAAGAAGTAATATGTATTATATAACAATCTGAAGACATAATGAAGGAGTTTTATAGAGAGAGAAAAAAAATACCAAAATTCTAACATATGTGAAGCTAATTGTGAATTATTTATACAATTTTATTACTTTGTAAAAAATTTAGAAACACTGATTGAAATGTGTTGAAAGCGGTTTCAATAGTCATGAAAAGTAAATAGATTTTGAATACAGAAAACATTTTCAACAATTGTAAGATCTTTTTCTCGGGTTATTCTTCAGAATAAAAAAATTTCAATAACCAGAAAATGCAATACCTGTATACCGAAAAACAGGTATATTGACTAATTTTTCATTGGTATTTTCATATTGAAACATAAGCGCTAGTAAATATGTGGCACACGTTTGTTTACCGGAACCATCTAAACTTTAAATCTCATAATCACTTAAAACAAATAAATCTTACCATATTCTATTGTATAAACAAGATTCAACATATCTCATTACCAGTAGGTAATCCTTTTTTGGTTTCAACTTTAGACATATCACTCATAGTAATTACTAAATTGTTTTTATTAAAAAAAAAAAAAAAAAACAGATTATAATTTAATCTTGAGAAATGTATTCAAAGTTGCAAATAATTATATGGTAGTTTACTAATTTACCGAAATAGCGGTATCAAAATTTTTTATAGTATTGCATTTTCTAATAGTTACTTATAAATTAAATGTGCTGCATGAGCGTCTTTTGAATAACCATAATTTATACAAACTGTTTGAAACACTGAATACGCGTAACACACAGTTTAATATTTACAATATTAACAATTAACTTTGCCAAGACCACATTATTATTTCAGCATCTTACTCTCAGATAATATATTTCTGGAAAATTGAAACAATGTTATATTTGAAGAAATGAATTATTTATGATTTTTGTTTTCGGAACACAAATAATTCAATATGCATCAATATTATACAAATATATATTTGTTAAGAATATAAATAAATTTAATAGTTTACTTATGTATCACTGTGGGTATGAGCTATATGCTCATAGAGGGTTATTGAAGTCGAACACAGTTGAAATCTGTGTTGTTGAACAATTAAATAACCTATAAAATATTACGTTGCAATAAATAAATTAGCTCCACTCCTTTAGTTTTTTTCTGTTTTGCAAATCCATAAAAACCATATAACTACCATAGTATTGTTGCTACTAATGGAATTGCATAGAATATTTAAAAAAAAAATTGCTTCTATATTAAAAAAAAAAAGGAGTTTCTTATTTGAATTATTTCTCATTATCAAAATTATATTATATTAACAATTAATAATTACAAATTCTGGCCTCAAGCATTTGCTGAACTGGCTACAAATACATAACAATAAATTAACATACTAAAATAATTTTCAAAAATAATCACTAAGTATAAAATATATCACTTCCATGATTCGGCACTAAAAACCATACATCAGTATAAACTGTTGAAAAAGATACTAATAATATTAAATTATTCATGATTGATATTTTCTACATAATTAAAATTGTATATAACCTATTTATACAATAGTCATCACTAGTAATTTTGAAAATTCTCATAAGTCTATAACATCCGATTAAGAGTATCTAAACTTCTCACGACCATTAAATAATTTTTTATCTTCCTCATGTATTTTAAAACGCCTCCGAACTGGAGCACTTTCACAATCATTATTATCTTTGGTCACAGCACGTTTTAAACCTCTCGCCTGTGACTCACACATTACACTCTCGTTTAATGATATCTCACTTTCTTCCTCTTGAACGCCATATTCAGAAGATAGTGCCTCCTCATCTTCATATAACTCTTCATCTTCCTCCATCTCTTCTATTTCAGCAAAGTGCTCATCATAATCATCCACCCCTTCATGCATGTCAACTTCAATTAATTTACCTGAAGTAACAATTCAACACAAAGTTAACAACATCGAAGTATAAAACAGCAGAGCTATGTATATATATATATATATATATATATATATATATATATGTATATATGTATGATTCTGAATTTGCTATTGACATATGTATTAACAAAGTCTAGTAATCGGGCATAACATCAACAAAAAACATAAATTTCTTTCAAAAATTTATTTTAAATCCATACGTTTCGGCTATAATCCTAGCCTTCATTCAGTGGAAACTAAAAATAAAATTAAAAATTGAAACAATTGAATTGGAGTGAAAAAAAAAAAAAATGTGTAAATAGTACTTACAATTAGTTAATCTTAATGTTAAATTGGAAGATTAATCCATGATATCAGGATATGGTAATGCACTACACTGTTGTTCGTAGACTGGTTGAAGATATAATGGAGAAAAGACTTCTTAAAAAATATTTTTACCAAGATTCTACACAGGTGTAGTGTTAGAAGTATCGAGGCAAGAAGTAAAAAAAAGTATCTAATCAAAATATCGATGCCAAAAAAATATCGTGGCGAAAGTATCGATAGTACTCAATATCGAATTTTGAGTACTTTTCATAAAAATTAAACATAAGTGCAAGAAAGATCTAAAACTCATTAAATATCATATCACAATATGATAATGAATTCCATTGCTTGTATCTGATGTGTTAAATCAGGATCATTTTCAATGTTGTAAAATTTTAACAGTAATTTTTCAATACTAATTTCAAATTCTATAATTTTTCAAAAAAAAAAAAAACACAAGTCATAATAGTTGAGTATTTTTGATTAAAACAATATAATAGTCTGATGCTATATTCAAAAAGCAAAACTTTTTAAGTATTTTTAAGTACAATAACATTTTTAACATTTTTAAGTGAAATAATATTTTTTAATTGTTGAATATTTTTATATGAATAATTTTAGCGAGCATGCAACTTTAAAAGCCGTTACATGTTTACATAAAAGTGCAATATGAAGCTCTTTGGAAAGCAATGAACATTCAGTTTAATGACTGTCAAGATAATATTTCGACACTTGTAGAGAAACATCCCTTCGGAGCGATGGGATTTAAAGTTTAAATGGTTCCGAAAAACTCAAACCCATATGTTTGCATGTTGATATTCAAAAATTTCAATACATGAGTAATTTGCGTAAAAAAAGAATCGAAATATAATTATTTCAAATAATAATACTCATCCATTCCAATATATTAGTATTTTGGTAAAAAAGAATCAAAATATATTTATTTCGAATAAAAATACTCATCCATTTCAATATATTAGTATTTTGCATAAAAAAGAATCGAAATATAATTATTTCAAATAATAATACTCATCCATTTTAATATATTAGTATTTTGCGTAAAAAAGAATCGAAATATATTATTTCAAATAATAATACTCATCCATTTCAATATATTAGTATTTTGCATGAAAAAGAATCGAAATATAATTATTTCGAATTATAATACTCATCCATTTCAGTATATTAGTATTTTGCGTAAAAAAGAATCGAAATATATTATTTCGAATAATAATACTCATCCATTTCAGTATATTAGTATTTTGCGTAAAAAAGAATCGAAATATATTATTTCGAATAATAATACTCATCCATTTCAGTAAATTAGTATTTTGCGTAAAAAAGAATCGAAATGTAATTATTTCAAATAATAATACTCATCCATTTCAGTATATTAGTATTTTGCGTAAAAAAGAATCGAAATATATTATTTCGAATAATAATACTCATCCATTTCAGTATATTAGTATTTTGCGTAAAAAAGAATCGAAATATATTATTTCGAATAATAATACTCATCCATTTCAGTAAATTAGTATTTTGCGTAAAAAAGAATCGAAATGTAATTATTTCAAATAATAATACTCATCCATTTCAGTATACATATTAGTATTTTGCGTAAAAAAGAATCGAAATATATTATTTCGAATAATAATACTCATCCATTTCAATATATTAGTATTTTGCGTAAAAAAGAATCGAATTATAATAAACGCAAAATACTAATTTATTGAAATTGATGAATATTATTATTTGAAATAATTATATTTCGATTCTTTTTACGTAAAATACTAATATATTGAAATTGGTGAGTATTATTATTTGAAATAATCATACTTCGATTGTTGAATGTTTTTATAAAACAGTTAAGGTACTTAAAAAGTCATTTCATTTTACATAAGAGTAATATATAAACATCTTTATTTATTAGTGTGGTCATATTCATTTTGGGTTTTTGAGCAATAAATTCTGAGACAATTTGACACTTCTTTGAAAAATTATGACCACCTACTGCTCTACATTTGGCAATAAGTGGTGTTCATAGTTGGTCGATGAGTGGTGTTCATAGATTACGCTGTCGATTCTTTTTGAGTACTATCGACGATATTGGCAAATAGATCGAGCTAAAAAAATCGATAGCAAAAGTACTCACTATCGACCGCAAAGTATCGATAATTACTCAGTACTCGATACTTCGTTCTAACACTACACATGTGTGGAACGAATTGCGAATCCTTTGCGCGACGTTTTTATTGTTTTTTGTGAGAAATTTGGAAATGCTATCTAATTAAAAAAGATTTGTGTCGCGCAGCGTGTTAAGTTCATTCCGTTTATTTATTGTTTTATTGTTATAAATAGTTAAAAAAGATCCTTCTAAACGAAGAATTATAGAAAGATCTTTTTTTAACTATTTATAACAATAAAACAATAAATAAACGGAATGAACTTAGCGCAAAGGATTCGCGATTCGTTCCACACATGTGTAGAAAATTGGTAAAAATATTTTTTAAAAAGTCTTTTCTCCATTATATCTTCAACCAGTCTACGAACAACATACTATCTATTTGTGATTTTTTAAATTAGTATTTTGTGAAAATATTGTGTAATTACAAATTTAATGTTTATTATACTCAGTTACTTGTTTAGATATTCAGTATAGTATATATATAACAATATATTAAACAAAACATGCAGTTTATCGTGTATATAGGGACGGTATTCGAAAAATTGTTTAAAAAACCGGTTTGTGTAACAATTTTAATGTGTAATATATGTTGAAGTGAAAATCATAAACAAAATAATTTTAAATAATCGGAAAGCAGCTGGGGAAGCTGGTAAACTGTTGTATCGTCCGTACTTTTTGTTGGTACACATTTACTTTGCGATAGTTACAGATTATGAAGATTTCTTTCGTATCTCGCTATTTGTAATATAAATAACAAGTCGAAGAACAAAAAAAAAATACATATTTACGATTTTTTTTAACTAACTCTTATATGGGATATTAAAAGACTAGTGGTACACATTTATAACAGCATAATAGACGGATGGTACGTATGTGTACCACTAACCTAATTTAGTAATAAATACAAAATAATTGTATAACATAATAACATAGTTTCAAACCTACTTTATCTAGCTTTCTTATCCATTGTAATCACTCACAATCACCAAAAATCGCAAGAAGTTTTTATATTGAAAATAGTCCTATTTTTGCAACGTGGTCTGGGCGGATGAAAAACAAAACGCGATTGGTTCTAAACCAAATGCTGTTTTACGGGTCATATGTATTTTATCTCACAGCTAAACACTTACATTACGTTGTGGTATAAATTGCATTGCTTTAATAGATAAATTCTATTAAAAGTACACATATGTACCGCGCGTACTAAAAGGGTTAAACATAACTCAAATATTTTCCAATTGCTTAAAATCGTATACATATACATATACAGGGCCGGTCCTGGGGTCCTTTGCGCCCGCATGCAACTTTTTTTCTAGCGCCCCCCCCCCCCCCCTATTAATTTTAACTGTTTTAACAGTTTATCATTAAAATTATATAAATATGTACATATGTATGTATATGCATTTTTAAATTAATTTTTAATTATTCTGGATTTAGTTTTATCTAGGATTTTTAATTATTCTGGATTTAGTTTTATCTAGGATTTTTAATTATTTATGATTTAGTACACAAAAAATTAGATATAATCTAAAAGCGTATAAAATACATTGATTTTAAATTTATTTAGAAAATCGAGGCGATTCGCGGGTTGATTATTATCAAATATTTCTAAATTGTCAATTATTTTTAACATATGTGCAATATTGATATTTGGATTTTTAAACATTTTACTTATTTATTATGCGAATTATTCTATTGAGCAAATCATGCCAGGAGAGCTAAAAAAAACTAGCTTTCATGTATTTCATGTTGGATTTTTTAAATTTTAATTTAATTTAATTTTTCATTATTTACAATATCAAAAATTGCGGCGTAAAATTCTCCTTATTGATATCGTAAGACCCGAATTGTATTCATCCTTGTTTTCCCGTCATATTCAGAGTATCAGATTATTTCAATTGTAATTGCGATAATTTTTTAACGTATTTTAGAAGTATTGTCCAAAAATCAGTAAAAAATGAAAAAAAGAAAATACACATTTTTTTTACCATATTGAAAAAAAATCTAATTATATTTGATATGTATTATTTCTGCATAGTTAATAATTATTAAATTTAGAGTATCAACACTACTAGGCATAAAAAAAGCCTTAAGATTTTTGTTCCAAAGTAAATTTTGCTTTCATTTTTTAGATTTGTTCCATTTCCATAACCCTAATCACGCATGTCTTCAACATTCAAAATTCATCAGAAGCGAAACATTTGAAACGAAAGCAAACTTACAATTCAATTTCTCGGAATAAACATGCCATTTTCTAAGCACTGACTCCCCATTTTTTATTATTCCGATTATAATTTGTTTATATTTTTAACAAGTTCCGTTTCAACTAAATCAGCTCGCAATTTTTCGTAAATAATTTAAAACTTTGTAGGTTTGCGCTTACAGGATTAAACACTAGATAATTTCTTTTTAGATTCCACGGTAACTTCAAACAAAGAAAATATTGAATAAGTAGATTAAGCAATAAACAGAGCTGTTATTTACCAATTTGCAGAGTTATTTATCGGATAATTGTTTCTACTGATATCATATTGCAAAATAAATATGCCTTTTGTGTGTCTGTATTTCTAGTTAAGGTATATTGTTTATTATAATTTATTAATATATTATAAATTTAATTTCCGTAACTCGTTTTGGCGCCCCCTAAGGCGTGCGCCCGCATTTTTTGCATGCCCTAAGGCAGGACCGGCCCTGTACATATACATATATATATATATATATATATATATATATATATATATATATAGATATACATGTACATTAGGGTGGTCCTTAAAATGGTCATTTTCGAATTTTCTTGCTCCCAGGGGCTCAAATGGTTCCAAATAGATAAAAAACAATTCTCTGAAAATTTTAGCTCTTAATATTAAAGTTTAGATAGAGCGCAATTCAATCAAAGTTTTGTATGGAAATAGCATGAAAAAATTTTCAAAAATTTTAAAAATGTTTTTTAAATGTAATTTAGCGAACAAATGAATGAATAAAATTCATTCATTTGTCGCTAAGTTATACTTAAAACATTTTTTTTTAATTTTCAAAAATTTTTCCATGCTCTTTCCATACAAACTTTGATTGAATTGCGCTCTATCTAAACGTTAATATTAAGAGCTAAAACTTTCAGAGAATTGTTTTTTATCAATTTGGAACCATTTGAGCCCCTGGGAGCAAGGAAATTCGAAAATGACTATTTTAAGGACCACCCTAATGTACATATATATACATATACATATATATATATATATATATATATATATATATATATATATATATACATATACATATATACATACATATACATACATATATATATATATATATATATATATATATATATATACATATATGATATATTTTTATTATAATCATGAAGCAGTTCATAATCATTTACAACATTTATCATAATAACATACTTTTCTTTAATAAAAAAATGTTTTGATGTAAAAAATTAAAATCTATTATATCAATAAGCTTATCAATTATATAATAATGATTCAAAATTACCATTTAGCGTGGGAAAACTTATGTCAGGTAATGGTAGGCTATCTGGGTTAAAATCGGACACAAGTTTCTTAATCAAGTTTGAAATCTCCTCCCTCTTTCTAGTGACTACAATTTCTTCAAACCAATTAGCCAGTTCTTTTATTGGAATTGTATAATTTGTAATAGGCACCTACAAAATATATAATTTATTACATGCAGATAATCGGTGTTTGACAAAAGGCTAAAATAATATTGATTATTATTGGCTATAACTTGCTTATAAATAAATTAATGAATAATATTAAAATCTCATAATATGATCATAATACCTTAAAAAACTGTTCTACATATTGCAGCAAATATAGGCCGCAATCAGTAAAGTTATTTTGTTGTGGAACCTTTGGACAACATCCTCTCACATTATACCGAGTAAAACAATCACTAGTTCCTGTTCTAGACTGGTATTCACAAGTAAGGTAATCTCTTAATGTTGCAACTACCCGCCGCCTTGACACCCCGCCGGCCAGTGAATCGAATATTAAAATACACGGTCTAAAACAGTTTTGTTATATATATATATATATATATATATATATATATATATAACAAAACATAATATAAATATATATAATATATATATATATATATATATATATATATATATATATATTAAGGTGGTCCTTAATATGGACATTTTCAAATTTCTTTGCTTCTAAGGGTTCAAATGCTTCCAAATTATTAAAAAAAAATCCTCTGAAAGTTTTAGCCCTTAATATTGTCTTTTAGATTGTATGGCAGTAGCATGGACAAATTTTCAAAAATTTTAAAAATGTTTTTTCAAATATAACTTAGCAAACAAATGAATGAGTTTTATTCAAAGTTCGACGCTCTACAAAACAAATTATAAAAAACCTGTTTTGCAGAGCGTCGAATTTTCAATAAAAGATGACACAAATTGTCACTTTTAATTCATTTGTTGCTAAGCTATACCTAAAAATCATTTTATAAGATTTTCAAAAAAAAAAGACCATTCTATTTATCTCCAAAGAAAGCTTTGATTGGATTGCGCATTATCTAAAAGCTAATATTAAAAGTAATTTGGTTCGTATGACGAAGCAAACGTGCCGCTCTTTTGGCGGATCGTATCGCAAAACGTTCGTAAGGCGGGGCACCACTATATTTAATGGCAATATTAACATAACATAGATATATAAATGAGAAAACAACATCAAGACTTATTAATATTTTTACATATTCAAATACATGTTATTCAAGTTAAATAGCTTACTGTTTAATGCATTCAGACTTAGTACTAGACTCGGATGCTTGATCTGATTCTGAATCAGATTGGCTGTGTTCTAATTCACTATCAGTTCCATCTGCTTCATCTCGTTCCTCATCTCCAAATAGATTTTTGTTAGGATTGCTCACCGATTTATTGCTTATATTCACAGCAGGACCACAAGGAGATTCCTCAGTGACTTTTATAGCTAAAAATATAAACATATTATATATATATATAAATATATAAAATCTAAAGAATCTAAAACATATATATATATATATATATATATATATATATGAAAGAAAAAAAATTAATAATATGAACGCCATTATTATTAATAATCTCTTGATAGTACGAGAGCAATTTGTTTAAGCTATTTTTAAAAAATGTTTCATCTTTATATGCTAAAAATTGAATATTTGCTTGTTAGACTTAATTGAATGAATCAGTGCTTTGATTTTTTAATTGTTTTTAAAGGCAAAAATAAATGATAATTAGAGGCTGTGCATAATCTATAGTTCATCCCCAGTTCAGAAATAGCTCGATGTCTGAGCAAGCAAAAATATGAATGTGACATCCCAATTATCCATATTTTTCTGACTTTCATGTGGCACGCATCTTGAACATTTCCACACCAATCCTATCTTTCGAATATGGTCATGGTTTGTTGAGCTGAATTAAGCGTTTCTGCAATCACCAATGTTGTCAGATAAGAATCTTGCTCCAACATTGCTTTAACAACATCGACGTCGATAAAAGATGCTCGCGTCGAAACGGAAAGTTTGAAATCACTGTTTCAAAATTTTTTTGCACCATGTTTTGCATATCCTACCAGAAACTGTACCTTCACAAAACACTTTCAGTAAATTTCTGCATGCTTTTTTCTATAGCATATCTTCCTTGTTAAAATTCATATAATATATAGTGTCATAAATGATCTTTTACAGTCAACTTGATTATAGTTAATTTTATATGTTAATATATGCGCATTAAGCTGTGAGCTATAAATATAGAGCTGATCATGAAAAATATAAACATGCTATTAATGTAGCAAAAATAATGCCATAACTTTGGATAGAACTTCCATAGTATCTCTATCTATTGTATTTCATATTCAATTTTTGCATCATATACTTGTATGCAATATTGAGATATAGAAAACGTTACTATTATTAAATTTTTAATGTATGTATATAACTGATTGCTGATAAATCATACAAATTAAAAATTGAATTCATGCATACCAAATTTTTTGCAATAAAACAGAAAATTAATCAATTATTACTTTTTTTGTTCTTCTTGTTAATGTTATTCTTTTCTTCTACTGGTTTGTTACCCATCATTGTGTGTGGACCCTTTAACCCCGGAAAACATATTATCGCTAAAAACCAATGTGAGCTCTCATTAATAGGTATTACAATGAAATCCTTTTCAAAAATGTTTACATTCTTGGTCCAATTTTTCACCCTATTGTGGCGCTTTTGGGCTGAGGTTAATTTTAAATCAATATTTTCCATTCTGAAATATTTTCATTTCAATATATTTTTGGAATAATATGAAACATGGTTTAGTTCAAAATATGTATCAATGTAACAAGAAACAGGTCCACAAAAACAAAGTTATCTGGATTGGGTGTGCGACATATGTTATCTGATGTTTTAGAACACAAATCTTAAGTCATATTAAGAGATTTAAATGGCAAAAAAACATTATCTTCAATGCAGAAATTTTTCAGCATGTTTTCAAATTATTTAGAGGCAATGTCAAATAAGTTTGCATGTTTGCAAATTCCTACTGAAAGCTGCACTACTACCGAAAGATACAGAACACAGATAAAAAGTTGTCACAGAAAATCATGGCACAGGTCATTTAAGGATTTATTTAAGTACCAGGAAACGACAGAAATTGTGATATTTTAATTATCATGCAGAAAAATTAGTAGGTCAGAAATTTCATCATTTATTTCTCATTTTTCTCACTTTTTTGCCATTTGACCTCCAACAATTTTGACTTAGATTCATGTTCAGCGATAAAAAATACATCGAATCCGAACAACTTCTTTTTTGTTAACCTGTGTAATTAAATATTTATAAAATCTAATTATTATTATGTTTTATATATAAATGAAACTACTTTAGAAATAAAATGCTAACACTTACCTGGAATTAGGTTTTTCTACTTTAGTAGTCAATCTTTTATAAAAAAATGAACTAAAAACATGAGTCTTATTTCTCATTTCTTCAGAAAGTATTTCCTTACATAGATATTTTAAATAAAAATCTATTATTACATCATTTAAGAATTGGTCTTGTGCCAAACTTCCATAATCTTCTGTATTGATAGGTATACCACCTTTACCAGGAGGATAAATAAGAATTTGTCGTATTTCATTTGCCCTGTAAAATAAAATTTCAATTTTAAATTACATAGCCAAAAAAATTACAACTCTAAATACAAAAACAGGTAATAAATTGACAATGTGGCATCTGAATTTAAAATATAATTGAATAACACCATAGACCTTATAATATTATAAAGCATGGACTGCTATTAGAGCACAAAAATGTGTCAAAAGATAGTAAACGATAGCAACAATCACCGGACGAATGAGCGTTGCCGAAAACCGACGAATACTCTCAATTGCTGAAAATGTCAACAGTTATCATGTTTACATGATAGTACAGGAAAACTTGTAAATAAACAATTGAGAGTCTTCCATGATTCTCGACAACGCTTGTTCGCTCTTCTATCTTTGACATATTTCTTAACATGGTAAGCATAGGAAGATAGGATGTAATCCATGTACTATAAAGTCTACAATTAATACTTGCAATTGTATTACAAAATATACTCATCTTCTAAATTTAGATTTGATACTTAATAAAAAGGTAACATGTATCTGATTCAAATTGTTAATTCTTGGTGACCGACCTGTTATATTAACAATGACCAAGTAAATAACATTAAACAATTCAAAATAATAGGTATTACAGTGTTGCACTCATAAAACAAATATGCATGAAGTTTAACTAATATTTTGACATTTGCGCTATTTGAAGGTTTAGGTTTTAGCGATTGGTTGTATCAAAAATGTAAATAAATGTGAAATAAACCCCATGAGTATAGCATTTTGATAGTTTTGTGACTTCCAAAACATTGAGAGCCAACATCAATAAAATATGATTTGCCAGATTAAGATAAGTGCACCGAGAATACCAATTCTTCAACTTACTCTTATATACTAATTTGAAACATGCTATGTTACCACAGGAACCTTATAACATAACATAGTTATATTATTCCATATTATAGAAGAATAGGCTCGTTATTAATGAAATTTTTCATTATTCATTAGTATATTAATATGTTGTGTACGTTGTAAAACTTACAGAGGTCCGTAATCAATAGGTCTGTCACGTAATTTAATTTTGGTTAATATTTCATCTACTTCTCGCCTTGTTAATTCATCTAAAATATTGTTTGGTTTGCCATATAGCTGATATATAGTTTTCTGAAAATCATCTGGAAAACTAGAAGGTATTAAGATGATCCTTTTGTATATTTCTTCAGCTGCACAACTATCAAAATAAATTCCTGAAAACATGTTTTTAATTACAATTTACTGCCTAACAATTATTTGAAAATCTATTATATAGTTTAAGTAAGTATCTTTTATAAGATTTGGCTTAGAATTTTTTAAATTAACAATATTCAACATGTTTAGTTATTTTTATCAGTAATATGAAACAAAGTAAAAATTAATAAAAGACTAGTGGCACATAAGAATTAATGCAACATGTTTAGTTATTTTTATCAGTAATATGAAACAAAGTAAAACTTAATAAATGGCTAGTGACACATAAGAATTAATACAACTTTACCATCTTTTGGATCCCCCATGTTTAGCTTATTACGAATATATAGGGCACAGGAAGGCAGCAGATATATGAATATAATTGGTGTTCTTCCAAAATGTATCAACACCTTTAAGATTTCTCTGTGTTGGATGTTTAGTATCTCCTTTTTAGAATTATCAAAAACCGTAAAAGCTGCTATTCTTATCCCTTTGGAATTAAATACTACCTATAATAAAAAAAATAATGGCAACTAAATGCATACCATTTTCAAACATTTGTATTCACAAATCTTAAAAACATATTTTTATTTTATCACATTTAAAAAAAAAAATGATTGTATATTATTTTCTTTTGTGGATAAATGCTAGAACGTCATCAAAGTTTTTTTTTACCATCGCAGACTGTTGGGATATACTAAACAGATATGAGAGAACAAAAAGATCAGAATGAAAATCACTTAATTGAGTCAGTCTTTCAGTGACACAACCAAAGAAAGAAAGAGTTCTTCAAATAATATTTCATCTTACATGATAGTTAAAAAATTTGCATATATGTATATATAAACACAACTAAATTTGTTTGTTTTAATTTTTTTCGATTATTTAATTTATGTTGAAATTATTAACTTCCCGTAGGGTAAGTTATAGTAATAGCAAAAAAATCGAAAATTAAAATTTTTATATATCTTTATGTTTCAAAGGTTTCTGAACATTTTGGCATACCTCAGACAAAATGAATGTATATGTATGTGTGTGTGTGTGTGTGCGGATACAAATTTTCGTCGACGATTTCGGGAATACAGATCAACCGATTTGAATGATTTCAAAAACATTCGATTCGCATTGATAAGGAGACGTGATTAGTTTTTAGACATAGGCAGGTCTAGCCGTTTCGAAGACACGAGAAAAAAAAGAGTCAAAAATGATAATTCAGTTTTTGAGAGAACGAAGCATCCGATTTGAATAATTCACAAAACATTTTATTTATATTGACTAAACAAAGAACTTCAAATTTTTGGAAAGACAGGTCCAGCAGTTATAAAGTTTCATTAAAATAAATTAAAAAAACGCCTTTTGGCGGTCGGAAATGATCATTAGACATATGCACATCAAATTATCAGATATTTTATAGAGATTTTAATAATTGTACACATTTTGTGTCGATTCTTTTAGGTTCCGAACCAAGATTTTTAACCCTTCTTTGCATGATTTTTTTCTATTTTATTAAAATAAATCAGGGTGATGTAATTAATGCTCTAGATTAAAGGAAACATATTTAAAAAAATCCTAATGTAAATAGAAGTTTATTCTAAATGAATAAAAAAATATTGTTTACTCAATCTTCCTTACTCTTTATATTAATTTAAAAAACAATCATTTTTATTTAGGCACAAATTGAAGCACATTTACTGAATTGGTCCATTGTAAGCAGACTCTTTTTACGTTCACCTCTTTCTTGAGCATTTTTTTTATAAACATTATAAGAGTTTATAATAGCTCGATCAAACAGATAAAGAAATATGCAAATTCCACTTTTTAGACCCTTTTGTTATACGATTTCTGCCCAAAAAGCTATCCATGAGATCATAATCTGTAAATGTTATAGATGAACTGGAAGTACTCTGTATTATATATGAATTTGTCTCCACTACTAATGTTTTGATAAAATCTTCAGTGATAAATTGTTAAAATATTGATATGGAATTTCTAGGTGTGATAGACCACCTGAAGCAGTAGAACTCAATAAAGTAATTTTATCTGTCATGCATCAGATTCCATTTTTTCCAAAACAAGCTTCTTTTGTCAAATGGAAAACTGGATGAAGACTGCAAATTGGATGATGATGGATAAGAGGATTCTTGATCTTCTGTTTCTACAAGAGGAGGATCAATGTCAGCAGTTTTATCCACATCATCATCATCATTATCGTCCTTTTCATCCTGCAACATTCTTATAACTTCATCAGAATCGGTATTTTCATCATCGGAATCTTGGTCATCGAGGTCATCTTCCGAGAGCCAACCGCCTTGTAACTTACTAAGATAATGAATCTTCAATATCTCTTTTATTCAAGTTTCTTCAAAAAAACAAAACGAAAGAAAACATTTATAAAAAAAATGTTTACCATGCATTACAAGTGGAACTACTGCATAGTGATGTAAATATCCATCACATAGCTTTGAGAACTTTATTCACAGTGTTTTGATATAAATTGTACATAAAACAACAAAACATGAAAACAAACCCTTTTCTCACTCATTTTCACTCTTACTGTATTTTATATCTCCGTTTACTTCCTTATAACAAAATAAGAACTCGCTCCTTTGCAAAGAAACAGCGTAATGACAAGTTCTAGTCCTGGTAATTAGCAGTGAGGTTTGCTATTTTTTTTTAAATTGCATTTTGTTGTACGCAATGGTCGCTTAAAATGTTGCCAGCAACAACAAATCTACAGTGCAAGAGTTTTTAGTACTTTTTTTTTTTAAGTACATACCTTTGTTGACTAAATATTTGACACTAAATAATTTTGTTGACTAAATATTATGATTGACATTTCCATCGCCATGCAAAGAAGGGTTAATTCTAAAAGGGTCTGGGCGTGTTTCCATACAGAATTGGCCGCACCCTGGTATTTAAATTATTTTGATGCCATTTTATAGGTATTTTCGAGAAAATTCGATATACCAAATTTCAAATCCGTAGCTCATCATTTGGCCGAAATATGAGTAAAAACATGTGAAAGTGGCCCCTTTTTTCAAACTCACTTTTTGTCGGAAATATGAGAGATATCGAAAAACTGTTTACGTCATTCTATTTGTACTGATTTTGCCTATATTATTTATAATGAATAATGTTAAAAAATTGTCAAAAGTATTTTGAGGTATTGCTGCAGTTGTCCTAATGGATTAAAGACTGTTGCTTGCTGCTCCCACACTGCGGCAATTATATATTATCTGTCATTTGCAAGATATTTAGCACAAATTGTTCGCCCGGCTGAAATATTATCAAAAATATTTATAACAGAAAGAACTACGGTTTCTATTAACAATGATAGCGACTACGATTAAAAGTGTCTTAATAACTTCGTAACTTAACTTCCATATTACTATGGTGAATATAGTGACTATTTATTTATGTATTTCTATCGTTATAAAATAATATACAGTAACAATATAAAATATAAAATATAAAATCAAATAAAGTTTTAGGTATAATTTCAAAACAAAAAACATTGTATATAAATATATAACCTATCTAGTTTTATTTTTTAAATAAGTATTACCTTTATATAGAATATGTTCCTATGCGCGCCAAGCGCAATGTGCACTGGTTTGCTATTGAGAGACGCTACTTACACGGATATTCTACGGGTTCCGCGTGTACTACCTTCGGTTTTTTCAACTTTGTATAAAAAGTTCCACTTCGATTTAAATATAATTTTGGATAATAAAAGTAAAATATACAGGCTTTAAAATGATGCTATTTAGAAAGTAGTCAAATTAACCGTACTAGTCGAAAATTTCAAATAAAAACTTATTTTCAACTTTTCATCCAGTAAATGACAATTTTTTAACATTATTCATTATAAATAATATAGACAAGATCAGTACAAATAGAATGACGTAAACAGTTTTTCGATATCTCTCATATTTCCGACAAAAAGTGAGTTTAAAAAAAGGGGCCACTTTCACATGTTTTCACCGATATCTCGGCCAAATGATGAGCTACGGATTTGAAATTTGGTTTATCGAATTTTCTCGAAAATACCTATAAAATGGCATCAAAATAATTTAAATACCAGGGTGGGACCAATTCTGTATGGAAACACGCCCATACCCTTTACGTATATGATTCAAACAAATGTTCTCGACATTTTCGACAGTGTGGAATAACCGATTTGTGTGACTGAAAAATTATTCAGTTCGTACTCAGTCGCGAGGCGTTTTTGCAAAAGACAATTTTGCCGTTTCGGAGGTATGGAGCGCAAAGGGCGTAAAAACGGTTATGTAGTTTTTGAGAGAACGGATCATCCGATTAAATTAATTCAAAAAACATTTAGCTTGAGTAGACAGTGTGAAAAAAATGCTTTTACAGAAAATTTCGTACTTTTGAAAATTTTCAAAAAAAATTCTACATTTAAAAAAAAAATCGAAGTTTCAAAAAATTCAATTTCAAAAAAAAAAAAAGATTTGAAAAACTTCGAAAAAAAAACGATTTTTTACAAAAACTTGAGAATATTTAAAAATTTTCAAAAAAAAAACGAATATTTTGAAAATTTTCCAAATTCTCTAAAAATTTAAATAAAACGTTTTTTTTATATAAAAAAAAAAACAATATTTTCAGAAAAACTTTAAAAATATTTTCAAATTTAAAAAAATGGACAAGGTTCTTATATACACGCACATGAGTTATTTGTACAATTCGCTCATCGCACATTTTAAAAAGCACTTAAAAGTTTACAGTATGTATATATAATAAATAATCTATTTGAAATTATTCAAAACAATTTTTGATTATTTTCATTTCTCGAATGTTTAATTACGGTACAGAAAGTACCAGCAATTTGCCTTAGACAGGATGCCATGCGCCCCACTAGTTTTGAAAGACTTTAACGCCATGACGGCAACGTGCGACGTAAGCATTTTTTACACTTCTCGCTTAAATCGACAATCGATACAGAATGTGATCCACAATCGACCACAAAGGATTAATAGTTAGTTAAGTTTTCAAAGCCTTTGAATACAAAAGTTTAATTGCCTACAATCAGCAGACATTAGTTACTTACTTTTTCTATAGGTGTGCATTTATAAGAACCAATTCTCATTAACCGACATTCTACAACAGTGAATGTTACTCCTCCACAAATATCGACTGAATCCCGTCGTACAGGAACTAGAAAATATAGATAACAAATAACAAATAAGTTTATATAAAATAGTTTGACTTTCTATTTTGATAAAAACTGCAAACAATTCAACACTGTCATAACAAAGCAGAACATCATTACAATTGTTTGTTAACAACGGTTTCAAATATGTTATTTTAATAAACTCATTTATTTTTGTAAAAATAAAGTTTTTTCTCAATTAATTAAAAAGACATCATACAGATAATTATTACAAAAAATATATTTTTAACACTTCTAAAAGCTGCTATAAATGTGACTGTCGTTAACAAAGAAAACATTTAAACTTTTCTAACAATTGTAATAAAAAATTTGAAAACTAATATTTTTCGTAATTAAGCACATAGCTTCAAAGATAGGAAATGTGTATTTTATCAAAGATATTGTTTGAAATGAGCCAAAATAAATTCTTTTATTTTGCTATATATATGACGACAAAAAATAAACAAGATAATAATGTGTTACAGGAAAAAATATTAAATAATAAAGGATATGTATAAAATAAAAAATTAGTAGATTTTTACCTTTCATATCTTTTTCCATATCGGGAGTCATGACTGGTTCTTTTAAATGAACTTGGCTCGGACCTTCATAATCTAATGAATTATTTTCAACCTGTGAAAAAAATTTTTTAGTAAAGTAAAATACTTTCTGGAGTAAGCTTCAAGATAATGTTTTCTTAAAAATCATTTAAAACTAATCATATTTTACAAGAACACACACAATAAATACCTGATCAGGTTTAGAGCCCTCTTCGTCAGAACTTAAAGTTAACACTTCTGGTTCTGGGTCCCTTCTCGTCTTTTTAGCTCTTCTTAGATTGTCTTTAGGAAACCTTGAACTTATAAAAGTAACAAATATTGAAGATTTATCACATATACTCATAAAAAGCCGAATCTAATTTATGTCAATTAGAAATCTATATTCATAGTATGTTATCTAAAATATTAAACCGATTCGGCACACCATTATTAAATATCATCTTCCTGTGCAGAAAATTATCTATGTTAATTACTTTTAGTTCTATATTTCAATAACAACTTAAAGGCCGTCCATTAATCACGCGATCTTTGTTAAGCATTTTCTTAATAACCCCCCCTTCCCCCCAATAAGGAATATATATACAATAGAAACTCGTTTATCCGGATTTGCGATTATCCGGACTCCCAACCAACAATTCGAATTTTTGAATGATTAATGCTGCAGTTTATTATATGTATGTAAAGTAATCTAAGAGAATATATACGTACATACATAAGAGTTTCAATATCTTAATAAACATTATTTCCGTTGATGTCTATGTATATATTTGTGATATTTAATAAATACATCCTATGAATCCTATGACAACTTCATGTTGCGCTCCTTTCTTCATTTAAATTTATGGTAAACACTTTCAAAACGCTCTGTGTTTCCTTTGTGAATAGACGTTTCACAAATAAAGTCTAATTGTAAGTTCACACGTGTTTTATCATAACACATAAGAAAAATCAGTTATAATAACATTCTTTTTTTAGATGTTTGTGAGTTATCTAGATTAATTTTTATATCTAGAAAGCCTGATTGCACAGCAAATACATAGCATTTTGACAGTTTTTACTTTAATTTATTTACGGTCTACTTTATGGGGAATTGGCCCTTATTTAAACATAAGAAAATATATTACATCGACAAAAAGAAAGTAAGCTAATAATTAATGCCATTGTAGGGGCATCTTCAAATTAATTTATTTTAATAACAAATCTATTTATACATATACATTTACTGATACCATTAATAACTTACCTTAAATTATCTTTGTATGGTATTTTTCGAGATAATATGGAGTCTTTGTTGTCTTTTTTATTGAGAGGTGTTTGCGGTATAGATTTCGGCTCCTCGGCAAATTTCCGTTTACATCTGTAATAAAACTTACTATTAAAAGAAGATCATATAAATACTATTAACCGAGGCTTACTAATACTAACTTTACGTTAAAAATAAAAACTAAAAAGTGCGACGAGCATGATGAACATTACTTTTAATATATTGAGATATTATATAATGCCGAATCGATTTTGCCACTCCTGTAGCGTTTCCTTTCTTATTCTCACCCTTGCCTCCTTGCAGTTATCATTTCTTTTAGCGTCGTAGAGTTTCATTCACTCGAATGCTAACAAGTTAATCGGTGTGGCTCCGGTACTGCTGCTTCTGAAACAGTGCTATAGGCGCAGGTAACAAAGTCTCAGCGCACCTCGTCTTTGCACTGCCTCTATTTATGCGCCGATAAGTCTTCTGCTTAAGAATATCTGCCCAATTCTTCGCTCCGTAAAGCAGTAGAGAATGGACCTCAAGCAGGACTCGTCGTTTTTGGGTTCATGGACCCATATATTTGGCCATAGTTCTTGATAAGTTGGATACTATCTTGCTGGATTTACGCGTGCACTATTAAGGTATCACGGAAGGATAGCTTCTCATCTGGTACCAATTAGAAACCTACTTGGTCATCAAACCTTTGTGGAGTATTTAAATTTTCACTCTTTACTCTCTTACGCTTTGCAGAATCGGCTTTTATTTTTTTGAACAAATTTAGTAATAATAAACGTAATGAAACTTTGTATCGAATACCTAACACCGCGCTTATGCTCTCAACACTATCACACACACTGGTATATATCGTTGTGTCCTTATATTGCAAACAGTGCCGAGTTTTTTCAAAAATTTTTGCTTCGCACAGTGACAACTTTTATAGAAAAAAACTTGCCTCAGATAAAAGACATCTCAGTTATTTAATTTCTAAAACTATTTCATAAAAAAGTGATCACAGACAATTAGTGCTTCATTCCAATTATTAATTATTTACAAGTTATGTGTTTTTAATATGTATCAGTGTTAATCTAAGAATTTCAAGTAAGTTATGCTCTTTCTAATTTTTTAATTTAAGATTTAGATATATATATATATATATATATATATAATTCGTCTTTTTAGTTATTTTTCTTTTTTCTTTCTCTGTTCATATTTAGTTATTAACCTAGATAACCCGACGGGCGTTGTCCTGTGCTCATGTCTACAATTCAAAAGTCCCAACTGATATTTACCAATTAGTTAAAAATTATTTTGTTTTTTACACTACAGTGTATAACGAAATGTATACACATACATCCATATGAGTGAGATTAACTGTACAACTGTTTTAAATAAAATGATGAGTCTCACAACCCACACTTAATTCTTTCAACGTGAAATTCAAATCAACCACGTAAAACCATCGAACAAACAAATATTGAAATATGTTCAATAAAATAGTATATTAGAAATATATACTACAATTTATTGAACAAATTTATTTCCAATAGCTCAATGCATTTTGAAGCTAAGGGTTATGCAATATTTTTAGTCATACCTGTAGATGTAGATGTATAAATAAATGATTTTTTGTTTATTCACAACTAAAACATCGATTTTAAAAATTCATCACACAAAAATTCATCTACATAACTTAGATTTATAGCATAAGATATACGTATTGGAAATTGCAGTCTTTTAAACGGTATAACGAATTCAGAAAGAATTAATATATAGTATCCGCGGTAAAGATACAATATCACCTTTCATTTTTTCACTCAAAATATTTGATTCAATAATGTTGCCTATAATTTTTATAATCTCGTACTATATATTAATTGTTTTCAGTAATAATAATGTCTAAATTACATTTTTCTTGCTAATAATTCGATATACATTATTAAGTTCGATCAAAAATTTAGAGCAGTAAATGGAGAGGAAAAAGGGTGTAACCTGTGAACTTTTTTACTGTGCTCCAATTTGCGTAATATTTTGGAATCTCTTGAACCAAGTTAATTCTAGATGAAATACGAGTAATTGTAATTTTGGTAGAAATGGCACTCATAAAACTATTTGATTGAAATTTAAAAAAAACAGACCCTTAACAGTAATCATTTTAAAGGTTATTTTGGCACTACAAAGCCCCATTGAATATATAAAATGTAACATCTCGCCGCTAGACGGCTTCGAATACAAAAATTAAATTTCGAACGAAATAAAAAACGACAGAGCTTTTTCATATCTATCAATATTGTTCTTAGGACACATAAAATACCGGTGATTTATTAAAATTTTAATTGATATAACTTTGTTCATTACATGATTTTCGTTAAAATATTGGGAGATATTTGCAAAAAAACGAGCCAAAAAGAAGCGAATTTTCAGTGGCCAGTAACTTGAAAAGTATATGCTTTTTTGAAAAACATAACAGTTTTATAATTAGTTCTTTTATCGATATCCGACGTTATTTAAAAAATAAAATAAAATTACACCACTGAGAAGGGATGTCATCCACCCGGGAAGTGGCAAAAGAGTCTAAATTATTTTCACTTTAGAACTTGAGAGTAAGATGAACCTAATTCCAAAATTTCATATAAATTGGAGCACAGTAAAAAAAAATCAGGCCAAAAACGCTCCATTGACTTGAGTAAATATTCCGTATCCAATGCCAAACATATGAATTTTTTTGACACAATGAAATAGTATAGGAGCCAGCAACGTTTTCAAAACAAGCATTTTAGTCAGGCTGGTTTTTTGGTATGTGGTCCTTGGTGCTCTCTCGGTTAGGGTAAGGGCCGTCTGGCAGCTGGAAGTGGTTGCGTTAATTAGTGCGCAGCCAATTTGTACAGCGCGATTTCAAAATTTTGAAAGCATTTTAGTCAGTCCAATTTTCGTTTTTTTGACTTCGAATAGGTTCACCAGACTCAAATTTTTTGTTGCCAGACATTTTGGGCGCTGCTAAATATGTGCCAGACGCCAATTTATTTATTAATTTTTTTAAAAATTCAAATCATTTTAGTCCGTCTGAAATTTTAGTATTATGTTCGTTAATGGTAAAAACACGTAAAATTAATTTGCCAGACGTTTCTGCGGTTGTTAACCATGTCTGGCAAGCAAAAATGTCTGGCAATATGATACTAGTTTATAGCATTTTAGTCAGTCCAATTTCTATTTTTTGACTTGATATTTGATATGATAACTTGAATAAGTTATCCAGATTCACATTTTTGTTGCCAGACATTTTGGGCGCTGCCAAATATGTGCCAGACGCCAATTTATTCATTAATTTTTTTTTAATTTCAAATCATTTTAGTCCGTCTGTAATTTTAATATTATGTTCATTAAGGGTCAAGAAACATAAAATTAATTTGCCAGACGTTTCTGTGATTGTTAAGCATGTCTGGCAACGAAAAAAGTTTGGCAATATGATACTAGTAGACAGAGTGAGACAATCGCCAAATACATTGGCACGAATGAAACAAAAAACTATTAAACTCGTAAGAGCGCAATACGTATACTATTTAAAGTTAGTGCAATTTCAATAACATTTTCATAAAACAAATAAAATAAAGTTAAATAAAGACCTAATTAGAAAAGACAAAAATTGCATCATATTAGTCATTTTTTAAATTTTACTAGCTCTAAAAAATATGTTCATAATTCTAAAATATTGCTGTTAATATTTTCAAAAATTTGACTTGACAGTGGTTAAGTAACATCGTCAATTTCCTAAGAATATCATATATTTTAAGTTTTGCAATGAGAACTGACAATAATCATTATTTTTGTTGTACGCATTTTTTTTTATCGCAAAGTTAACTGAGTCAAATGACTTCATTTTACATGGTACTTAGCTTTAGCAGCAACTATTTGTAATACATACCTATACTTAATACTGGTAATACTAGTTTTGCTACCTTACTAGTTCAAGCTACCCCTAGAATAGAATCTTAAAATTCTAGTATATATATACAATATATATTGTACAGCAAACATCCTTCGCTCTTTTTTCTTTCAGCTTTTAGCTGTAAATTGAGCAATGTTTTTTAAAAATCGAAGTGTATTTAATAATTCAAAAATTCAAATGAGATCATTTTAGATCAATATGTATCACTATTTATAATGAAAGTCATTCGACCTAGGTCTCTTAAATCAAGATTATAATTGGGAATATCGTTTTTTTAACGACGAATAAAAACGTCTATTATACAGATTTATTCGTCTTATGGCTTAATGATACAATAATACAGTAATGTAGCTACAGTTTATCTTCCTTCTCATGTGTTGGTACTAGAAACTGGCACATTTATTCAATATGATAACTGTTTAAGCACTTTGGATGTTATAACACGCCTCGCATTCATTTATACATAATTATTTCGATTAATTCCTTCAAAACAATCAGGTATGCGACCCTCCCACACTGGGACAATAATACTACAATGTGATATATCAAAAGACTCATTAAACTCATCTATCCAACACAAATCAATGGATTTTTATTTTTCACTCATAATTCACCTTCGATGATGTATTTATAAAGGCTGCATATTATGAGAAATATGATTTTTTTAACTTTCCAGGTGGCAATTTGTAAGAAACGGTGATTCTAAAGAAAAATGGTATAAACACAATTTTGCAGAGAAGTTTATAACAAACACATCTGTCTAATATAGTTACTTGATTTTTCTTATAGTTTTCTGCCTAGTAAACGTATAGCGCTCTTACGATTATAATAGTTTTTTGTTTCATTCGTGCCAATGTATTTGGCGATTGTCTCACTCTGTCTACTAGTATCATATTGCCAAACTTTTTTCGTTGCCAGACATGCTTAACAACCACAGAAACGTCTGGCAAATTAATTTTATGTTTCTTGACCCTTAATGAACATAATATTAAAATTACAGACGGACTAAAATGATTTGAAATTTAAAAAAAATTAATGAATAAATTGGCGTCTGGCACATATTTGGCAGCGCCCAAAATGTCTGGCAACAAAAATGTGAATCTGGATAACTTATTTAAGTTATCATATCAAATATCAAGTCAAAAAATGGAAATTGGACTGACTA